TTTGCCTGACCTCGGCACTCACGAGGATGCAGCACAAGGTCTTCCTCAGGAACCTCCCCTCTGTGGCTGTGAAATCGCCCTGGATCCCAGGCACAAACCCAATCCTCAGCACCAAATAGCTTGTTCTATTCCACACCCGGAGCCCCGAGTACCTGGGTTTAAGCTCCCTCATCCCCTGAGGCTCACATCCCCTGCCTCCGGCAAAGCCCAGGCGCAAGGGAAAGGAAACACTTGTCTGGCAGTGCAAAGCTCCTCCACGCACACAGAGACGGGGAGATAAGAAACCTTCGCTCTGTGCCTCGTGGTTTAGTTACCATTTGGTCCGGCTGCTCTGCCTCCTCCCCATCTCTCTGCTCTTTGCCTTCAGTCTCTTCAGTTACAGCCCCTTCGTTGCTCTCTCCCGCTGCATCCCGCTCGCTGAGCCGGGCGTCCGCTCGCTCCTCTCTGGCCAGTGGCTCATCCTCTGACTCCTCAGCAGTGATCTGCACAAAACAGACAGACAAGTTGCAGAAACAACCGGCATGGGGCTGCACTCTGCCTCTCCCGCACCCAGGGGACAGAAGTCCCCCAGGATCTTGATCTGTTCCACTCCCACAAACAGAAGAGAAAAACATCACAGAGGCAGCACAGGGTTCAGCTGCCCGACTGGCTTTCCCAGCAGATGGATGGAGACGACCCCTCATTTTGAGCGTGTCACCCAGTGGGTGCCTAAACAGCCCGGCTCCCACCGACTCGCTGGAGGGGAGCAGAGGGCCACAACGACATGTCCCCTGCACAGCACAGCCAACAGAAAAAAAACACTGCCCTATCTGGACTCTGCTCTTCCTTGGGAAGAGCCTCCAAAAGTGGCCTTGCCTGTGCTCGCACAGCCGAACCTCAGAGAAGGAGAGGGGACTGCTGGGGCTGTCCAGGGAGGAAGGACTGGGCCCTGTCACCCCAAGGACCCATCTATGCCATCAGGGTCCACCTGAACCCTGACCTCCAGCACCAGGATCTCATGGAGCTGGGAACATGGCAGGAACGTTCCTAAAACCAGTCTCACCCACTGTTTGACCACCCCGACACTCATGCCCAGTTCTAATGACACCAGACTCAGAC